TGAAATAGACTGATTTTGGTACAATTAACAAGTTCACTATCGTCTTAATAATAATTATTATAGCAGTTATACTACTTATTTAAATGCAAACTTGGTAGAATATGTGCACCAAGAGAGATGGGCTAAATAAACGGCATAAACACAACCATATACTGGAAACAGGAATAGATTAAATGAGAGACAGCGCCGAAAAAATAAGCATACTCATTGACAGCATTCAGAAGATAGTTCATTAATTCATGTTACTTTCGGAAAAAGCAACAGGAGATCGTAGCATGTTTGCCACTGATTACAATTTTCAGCCATGTATGTTAGTGCCTCCAGCGTCTGATTCGAATAATCTTTCGTGATGTATCACTTCATGCTAAGATAGAACAATTAACCTCGATCGGTTAGTCAGTCAGAGGGCTAGTGAACACTGGACGTTATGGGAGACACTATGATGAAATCCGTAGTAGATGCTCAAGCAACTGAAGCCAGTTTGACAAAACGATAATAATTACTGAAAGACTATCTCCACTGTGTCTAAACATTTGCTGCCGGACATCATAATTACACAATCCAAGCAATCATACAGACGCAGAGATAAACGAGTACGTGGAGTCGCTGAGCATCTTGAGCTAGGAGAGACCAGGTTTCAAAAGCTTACAGAAAGACTGAACATACCGAAGCATTGTAAACCCAACCTTTGACTGTTAGATTAACAGTTTCAAAGATGGCCTAGGTTGGCGTATACCGATCTAACTTTAGCTATACGATTAGAGATCTCATCCGTCACACCATCAGTATCCAAAAAAATATTTATATACTCTAACTTATCCACTCAGGCCATTACCTAGTTCAAGGAAACCTCAAAATGAAGCTGAAATCCCCCAGAATAACTGGAGGCAGACCGCAATCCAAGTCCAACGTTCAGCGTCGACCGAGAAGTAATTCTGAGACTGCTCCAATACTACAGCGTGCAGTGCACAAGTTTTTATCAACCTCATTCAACATCTGTATGACAGTGCAGCGTGTCAGGTGATCCACAACAGAAAACTCAGTGAGGCGTTCGAAGTGAACACAGGAGTAAGACAAGGCTGTCTGCCTATTATAAATGATGATGTTCTTAATTGTGGTGGACTGGATTATACGTCAGATTGTGCATGAGTAGTGAGAAGAAATGAGTACACTGGACCACCGATAAGCAGACTCTAGGAGATCTGTATTTCGCAAATAATTTATGTCTGATATCACACAAACTCAAAGACTTACAGGTGAAAACTAACAAATACGTTGAAGAAGCAGCGAAGACGGGACTCCAGATGAACATAGAGAAGACGGGGTGATGAAGATAACCAACTGGCAGGAAACAACTAGTAGCACCAGTCACTATCAACGGAATAAATTCGAAAGAGGTCACTTCACTCACTTATCTAGACAGAATCATTTCAACTAAAAGACGGATAAAGATATCAGAGATAGCCAGAATTGGAAAGGCAAGATGCTCCTTCATCAACCTGAAACCAGTCGGAAAATCTTTTGCACTCACTCAGCCAGCATAAACAACAAGATTTGGACTTTCAACACAAATGCGAAGTCGGTCCTTCTATACGGGTCAGAAACTTGGCCAGCGTGTCAAGAAAAGGATTTCCAACATGCTGCAGATTTTTATGAACAGCTGTCCACTTCGCTGACTGGCTCCGTACTGAAGATCAAATGGCCAGCCAAAAATAATTAGCAACAAGAAACTCTGGCAACAAACCAACCAAGAACCGATCGCTCAACAAATGGATGTGGATCAGGAATACACTGAGGAAACCGTCGAATGACAGCACGAGCCAGGTCATCCCTCAAGTGCAATCCTGATAAGGAAGCGACGAGTGAGTCATCCAAGGGTGATGTGGCAGAGATTATGCAAGGAGAGGCGAGATTATGGGCAATCGTAGACCCAACTGAAGAGGATAGAACCAAAGGGAACAAAGTGGAGATGTTTTTGAAGCTCCTTTTTCCACTCAGAAACCAAGGGAATAATAATAACAACTTATTGACTGCTTCTAAATATTCACTTGAGAGGTTTAGTCAATCTTGTAACAATATTTTCACCAAGCAAAGCACATAGCATACTGACAAACACTAACAGCCAACTGATTAAGTACAAGTTGGGCAGCCTGTATTTTATTACGCAGTAAGACAATACCGTGTTCATATGCGGTGAGAGCAGGCTAGCCAAAAATGGTAGACAGCATTTAACGTCAATGGATATGTCGCAAATATTGGTGGTGAGAAAATATGAACAAGACTGATTCAACAACCAATCACAGCAGACTTGGCGTAGACAGATACAGTCAATATATAGATGATCTAACATTCAAGAAACAGTCACAAAAAGATGCAAGGTCAACTTTCTGTGAGAAACAACCAATCAGAAGACTGTGTTTGTCTGTTTGAATAAGCTATAATAATGTACATGAAATATATATAAATACATGTTGATTTCCTTAATAAACGATCTGTTGCCTGGCCTTTGTCTTCTGCTGTTACACATATTCAAGGTCGAGTCCTCAGGAAGGCAAGTCTACACCACTACCGTGTATATCATTCGGAGCTGTTTCTAGAATGCTACAGATGGCAAAGCTGAAAATGAATCTCAGGCTTGGACAAACCTGTCTAACCCCGATGTAGGTTGGGAACAACGATGTTCTAATGTTCATCTATACTAATAACGGCTTCAGTAGGCGGCCTTGAGTCTAGCTTGGTTTGATATTTGGCAGTCAGAACGTACTGTCAATTTGCTCATGCCAACCTAGTACAGATGAAGTTTATGATCGCCACCAAATTGCAAGATAAACGTTGAATGAACTCAAGCATGATTCAAATATAAACAAGTGATCCAGAATAAGTCGGATTTCTGTATGCATAGGCACCATTGATAGCTGATAGCAATATAATCTGTTAGAATCCCGGCATGAGAGGTGGTGATGCATCTTGCAGAGTAATTCACAACAGAAAGCTCAGATAAGCCTTTAAAGTGAAAACAGGAATAGAATTTTTAACATCATCAGTGATCTTCCTCATTGCGGTGGACTAGATCATGCGGTAGACCGTGAAGATTAAAAGGGGTGTATAAGTTGGACCAACAAAAAGACCCTAGAAGATCTAGATTTTGCGGATGACTTATATAACTTGTCACACAAAATCGGGGATACACAAGAAAAACCGACAAGCTGGCAGAAGTGGCAGTGAAGACATGACTTCAAGTGAAAATGGAGAAGACAGACGTGAAGATACCCAATCAACAACAATAAGCACTAATCACCATTAGTGGGAGAAATTCAAAGGACGTTACTTCTTTTACTTACATGCGTAATATCGTTCTAACCGCAGGCACGTCACAGACAAGGATACAAAAGCCTTTCAGAATCAGGTCAAGAAAGTCAGACAAGAGTCCATCCTTTTGAAATTAATGTGGAGTCCACAGTACTAAGGGGGTACAAGCAAGAAGATCTGAATTATCAACACTAAGGTCAAGTTAGTACTTCTGTATGATTTTAAGACTTGGCGCGGGTGTCACGAAAACAGCTTCAAACAGACTGATATAGGCTTTCACTAACGGATGTTCGCTTCTCTCGATAATGAAAGTCAGGTGACAGGCCAAAAAGGATAAGGAAGCGAGAAGGATCTCTGGCAGTAAACAGTCAAGAACACATCGTTTAACAAATGTACAGAAGAAAATAAAAATGGGTAGACCATAATCTGAGAAGATCGTTGAGTGACATCAGGTGCCAGCAAGCACTTGACTGAACTCGAATGGGAAACGATGGGTATGGTTGCATGTAGAACATCACTTGTGAGAGAAATAAAGGCATATGTGCTGTCGTACAGTCAGCTGAAAATAGCAGAGGCCCAAGTGGAGAGGTGATGTACGGAACTCAAGGGACGCATAATAATGAGTGCCAGAGGAAGGGTATTAGGTAGCGAGCTAGAAATAAGTTATTACCTTCACAAAGATGTAGAAGACGATTTCCATTGTGTAACCTATGACTATTGCCCACGTAAACGACTCTCCTCTAAGCCTAGACGCCCGACCTGTGCATTCAAGTTCCAGGCCAGCAGTACATCGGTTGGATGCGCATGCTTCATAAGACCTCTCAGTTAATAGAACAGCCCATCTTTAATTGCATTCAGGCTGCAATTTGTAGCTGCATAGATGGAAATGTAAAGCTTGTCTGGTCAATTCCTCCTTACTCTAGTATAACATCCTAGACCCACAGCATATTAAGGACCGTTGATGCGGATCTAGTTGAGTAATGCAACTTTGGATCCAGTGCTTAGTGCGAAAGGATAAATAGCTAAGCTGGGTGCCAATGTCACAAGGTTTCCGGATAAGCGCACATAGTACACGTTATTAGAATTTTTAGATGGACGAGATACTCGAATTACTTTACTGAAACCATGTATGCTGGTCTCGGTAGTGCGGCACACATCAAGAGGAAGAATCGTCTGTTGTTGGATTTGCATCCATATGTGAAATTTGTAGGTGAAAAGCTTGAACGCGACATGAAGTTTTAGAACAGCCATGTTAGATACGAACTGGCGGCCAACATTCTGAAGGCAACTACCTAGCAACTCGACACGATACTGACAGAGTGAGGTTTCAAGCAGAGCCAAATGGCTGACGAAAGTGAAGTTACTAAAAAATTCGATGGTAAAAATAAAATATCAGTTAACAATTTCTGTGAATACATTGATGATCAGATGTAATGAAGTGGTGCACCACGTAGATAGACTTGTAAGATGGGATGAATTTATTTGTCACCTCATGTTGGGTGAAAAATTCACAAACGTAATGAACTTATAACTGCCACAGTTTCGTTTCTTAAACGTCAGAAATAGAACCTGGAAGGACTTCACCATCAACTCTTTTTTGTAAATGGTATCTGATGGAAAATATTTAAAGACACGTTTACACCAGCATAAATTTTATAATGAAACTAGTAAGAGGACAAGAACAATTTCTCTTTGATAGAAATGCTCTGTATTTCAACTTATTATATGTTATACACCATATTTATATAAGACAAATTGATCGATTATTGGAAATCATGTGACTTAAAAAGAAACCTACAAGCTAACAACAAAACTAGAAAAAGAGCAAACAAAATGATAAACACTGCAGCTCACACATCACATAAAGAAGTTTATGAACAGGCCAAAAAGAAGCAGTATCATGTGAATAGTTCAATAAATAAAAAAAATATATAGACTTTCAAATAGTGATATACACGTAAATAACATCAACAGAGGCGATAACACGAAACATGATACTGTTGATAAAAGCATAAAATTATTGTCAAATAATACCTATTCTGTCCTGTTTGCTTCTAAAGATCAACAGCTTTGTGAAGAACAGCAAAAAAAATTGAAGAGGAAATTACTCTACCTCAAAGTACAGTTCACTTCATTTCAAATAAAGGTAAACATTATCAATTGACTTTTAAGGCTGAAAATCCACACTTCGATTTCATGCATTTACACTCTTCTGTATATTCAGTAAATAAAAAGTCTTCAGAAGCAGTTGATACTACTCATTATAATAAGAGTAGTCAGGTTGAATCAAATGAATATTTTGTTGAAATACGTGGAATGAGATGTAACAAGTATGTCTTCAGCATGAAAAGGTATCGTATTATACCTAATCTGCACAGTAAACAAACTGTTATGGATATTTCTAAAAAGCTGAATAAAAAAACAGCTGATGTTAAATTTACCACTGCCAGCATACGCAAAGATACTAGTAACAATTACTATAAACAACAATCACCAGTGGAAAGTACATTATATATACAAAAAGATGGAATGCTTTTTCTCATGATAAGTAATTCTATTCATATGGATATTAGTCAGTCATTTGCAGACTACGACAGGTTATCAAGTGAAGATTTTTCAAGAATTGATAATAATAATACCAATATTACTACTAATGCTATCACAAGTAGTAGATTCACTTCTCCAAAGTTAAAAATACAACCACCAAAACGTGAGATTTCGAATTATGCATCGTTAATTGGTCGATTAGGACAGGATATTATACGCATACATTTTATTCTTATTGACTGTAACATTAAGCCAATAACCTGTTTTAACTCACGTGGATGTCAGTCTGTTGAAAAATACGCTTACATAAAAATGTGGCCAATCAATTCAAAGAAGCCAACGTATTGCGCAATACCACTAAGTACATACATTTATCATGATCCAATGATATCCGTTCGAAAATATAATACAATGCTGAGAAGGATTGGTAGTGAGCCCGGCTGGATGATTGAACAAAGAAGGGAACGACACCAACAGTTTCTGACATCAGCACAGTTCAATAAAACTACAAACAATCAATGTAATCATACATCCTTTATCCACTTTGTAATGAATGGATATAGAGTTAAATTAATATGCAGTAATTATTTGAATACAATAATTGTTAACGGACAGACAATATATAAAGATTTTGTAGAAGCCAATCAAAATACTTCACGATAAGTTACAACGTAAACTGTGCAAATGATCACCTGGATAAAAGAGAATCACGTAGTTTAACACACTAATAGCGTTAAGTAGAGGCATTGCTCACCAGAAGTTATGGGGTGGAGTTGCAAAATCCAGTCTCATATTTCAGTCAAGTAGTAAAGGGGGATAAGAACAACACTCAACATAACCCTCTTCAGCTGATTACACACCAAAATCTCCGACATTTTCAAAACTGTTTAACATCCTGCATCTCATTCAGTAAGAAAAGCATTTAGGCGATTTCCCATCTGCTTGTCAGTAAAAACGAAAACTACTGATTACAGAAGTACTGTGTTGAAAAACATGGTGGCGGAATACCTGATTCTAGCACTAACTTCGGGGTTTAGAACTGTATGATTCCCATGAGGAAGCTGCGGTAAACTTTTCCTAGGATTATGGGATCTTAATACCCTGATTACTTAGTGAATTTGAATGACCACCTTCTAATTCATACGACTGCACGTAATTTCATGTAAGAGTAGATTTTGGACACAGCAGTAGAATATAATTCTACATTAGGTAAGTTTATTTCACACAACGCAGTGCAGCAGCAACAATAACTGGATGATGTTTCAAGCACAATTGCTCATGATTATATCATTGTATTCATACATCTTAACCTGCTTCATAATGCTATGCGCACCACCCCCAAACACACACGTTTTTCATTGCGATTTTTCAAATACAGAACAGCTGCCTCATCGTAGTTTGTAACTCTACAGCAGTACCCATTCATCACTCCATCCATCAAGAATCGAATACAAGTTACAAACCGAGCTCGCTGACCATCCAGTCACTAGGATACAATCCATGGGCTAATCCATTCTAACTTCTGCCAATTCACGATCTATAGTGCGATCACCCATCAACGTCGTCGGCGAGTACATTGCCCTGTTATCTGAAGTTCCTGGGTTTGAAACAGCTGTCCAGAACTCCCTTATTTTCGATGGTTCACTAAATGATATCAGTTAGTGATCAGTTTTAAAATAAACCATATTCCTGCAAACCAATACGCAATAAGAATTCTACGTAGGGCCACTGATTTTCAGTCTTCATGCGACAGTACTATCGAGGCTTGGATTCTTTATTAATTACAATACTGCCATTACTGATCTTATTTTCCCTGTGAGCCTTGATATATTCTGAATAAAATCTGGTGGGGAGTTATTCATTATCTTCTTTATATCTGATCTCATTATATAAATCTCCAAACTCGCCAGTTTGTCTCCTGGCTTACCCTTACCGATTTCGGGTGGGAAGAGTCAAAGTCTAAGTACCTATTAGAATGTGATGGTCCATTTTTGATTTAGAAAATAAACAGAATGAGTTAGCTATGATGGACTGTAAAACAAAGCGAAAACAGGATAGTGGATTAGATACCAGTGTCTACAAAAGCTGTCGAATCTGAAACTCACTGCCAGTGAACGATATCTGTTAAAGAAACACACTTTGCTAGATGACATGAGAAGCAAACTTCTAAACACAGAACACTAACTGATGTTATCCTAAACGATTCTCCAATCTTCATGATTGCTTACTCCTTGATCAAAATATTTTCCTTCTTTTCAGGTTGTGTACATAATAGTTACATGGAAGTAAGACTATATGAAGCTTGTCAGATAAAACTAGCTCAAAATCAGTCACTAATTTTCGCCGAAAAATTCAAACGGTGAAACATGATTACCGGTGCATGGTAATTTTTGACAAAGTCGATTTGACGTTGGACTTCTAAAAGTCTTTATTATTATTGTTATTAAGTCTAGTAATAATAAATACATTATTACTGTATTTGGAGTTGTTGAGGATTTTAAACAGCCACTAGACAAGTGGTGCTTACCATTTTGAACTAACCTATCTTTTCAGAGTCCCACGACCACTGGCAATTTCAAATTAGTAACATCCTGAGGAAAAAGATTCACAAAAGCAATAACACAGACACAATCCATGATGACCTCGAGCTATTTTTAATTATTTTATATATCATTTATCATCACTGATTAATTCCACACTGTATTTTTGGAACAAGTATGGAATTTTCAGCATGGATATCGGTATTGAATTGAATTATTGATTTTCCCGTCGAATGATTGAACCGAAGTGCTCGGTCTCAGGTTGACATGTCGTCTTCTTGTGCAGATGCTTCGACGATGTCTGGGGATTTGATTTGTATACAATAGGTGGATGGTGGCAAGCAGTGGAATCCAGGATGCGCATTTCGTCCTATTTGGAACTCGTCAGCGGATAAGGCTTTGGCGTTTGAAACTATGGGCACTGGGTTCGAGCCTCGGTGGGAACATCATCACTCACTGAGAAATGCAGGTACATCCAGCTGACGAGTCCCAAATAGGACGAAATGCGCTTTATCCTGGATTCCACTGCTAGCCACCATCCACCAATTGTATACAAATCAAATCCCCAGACATCGTCGAAGCATCTGCACAAGAAGACGACATGTCAACCTGAGACCGAGCACTTCGGTCCAATCAATCGACGGGAAAATCAAGAATTCAATTCAATAATTAATATGACCCGTTGCACAAGAGGTGGCTCTCGTGGCCCAAGTGGTCTAGTGGATAACGCTTTGGCGTTTGAAACTATGGGCACTGGGTTCGAGCCTCGGTGGGAACATCATCACTCACTGAGAAATGCAGGTACATCCAGCTGACGAGTCCCAAATAGGACGAAATGCGCATCCTGGATTCCACTGCTAGCCACCATCCACCAATTGTATACAAATCAAATCCCCAGACATCGTCGAAGCATCTGCACAAGAAGACGACATGTCAACCTGAGACCGAGCACTTCGGTCCAATCAATCGACGGGAAAATCAAGAATTCAATTCAATAATTAATATGACCCGTTGCACAAGAGGTGGCTCTCGTGGCCCAAGTGGTCTAGTGGATAACGCTTTGGCGTTTGAAACTATGGGCACTGGGTTCGAGCCTCGGTGGGAACATCATCACTCACTGAGAAATGCAGGTACATCCAGCTGACGAGTCCCAAATAGGACGAAATGCGCATCCTGGATTCCACTGCTAGCCACCATCCACCAATTGTATACAAATCAAATCCCCAGACATCGTCGAAGCATCTGCACAAGAAGACGACATGTCAACCTGAGACCGAGCACTTCGGTCCAATCAATCGACGGGAAAATCAAGAATTCAATTCAATAATTAATATGACCCGTTGCACAAGAGGTGGCTCTCGTGGCCCAAGTGGTCTAGTGGATAACGCTTTGGCGTTTGAAACTATGGGCACTGGGTTCGAGCCTCGGTGGGAACATCATCACTCACTGAGAAATGCAGGTACATCCAGCTGACGAGTCCCAAATAGGACGAAATGCGCATCCTGGATTCCACTGCTAGCCACCATCCACCAATTGTATACAAATCAAATCCCCAGACATCGTCGAAGCATCTGCACAAGAAGACGACATGTCAACCTGAGACCGAGCACTTCGGTCCAATCAATCGACGGGAAAATCAAGAATTCAATTCAATAATTAATATGACCCGTTGCACAAGAGGTGGCTCTCGTGGCCCAAGTGGTCTAGTGGATAACGCTTTGGCGTTTGAAACTATGGGCACTGGGTTCGAGCCTCGGTGGGAACATCATCACTCACTGAGAAATGCAGGTACATCCAGCTGACGAGTCCCAAATAGGACGAAATGCGCATCCTGGATTCCACTGCTAGCCACCATCCACCAATTGTATACAAATCAAATCCCCAGACATCGTCGAAGCATCTGCACAAGAAGACGACATGTCAACCTGAGACCGAGCACTTCGGTCCAATCAATCGACGGGAAAATCAAGAATTCAATTCAATAATTAATATGACCCGTTGCACAAGAGGTGGCTCTCGTGGCCCAAGTGGTCTAGTGGATAACGCTTTGGCGTCTGAAACTATGGGCACTGGGTTCGAGCCTCGGTGGGAACATCATCACTCACTGAGAAATGCAGGTACATCCAGCTGACGAGTCCCAAATAGGACGAAATGCGCATCCTGGATTCCACTGCTAGCCACCATCCACCAATTGTATACAAATCAAATCCCCAGACATCGTCGAAGCATCTGCACAAGAAGACGACATGTCAACCTGAGACCGAGCACTTCGGTCCAATCAATCGACGGGAAAATCAAGAATTCAATTCAATAATTAATATATGACCCGTTGCACAAGAGGTGGCTCTCGTGGCCCAAGTGGTCTAGTGGGTAACGCTTTGGCGTTTGAAACTATGGGCACTGGGTTCGAGCCTCGGTGGGAACATCATCACTCACTGAGAAATGCAGGTACATCCAGCTGACGAGTCCCAAATAGGACGAAATGCGCATCCTGGATTCCACTGCTAGCCACCATCCACCAATTGTATACAAATCAAATCCCCAGACATCGTCGAAGCATCTGCACAAGAAGACGACATGTCAACCTGAGACCGAGCACTTCGGTCCAATCAATCGACGGGAAAATCAAGAATTCAATTCAATAATTAATATATGACCCGTTGCACAAGAGGTGGCTCTCGTGGCCCAAGTGGTCTAGTGGATAACGCTTTGGCGTTTGAAACTATGGGCACTGGGTTCGAGCCTCGGTGGGAACATCATCACTCACTGAGAAATGCAGGTACATCCAGCTGACGAGTCCCAAATAGGACGAAATGCGCATCCTGGATTCCACTGCTAGCCACCATCCACCAATTGTATACAAATCAAATCCCCAGACATCGTCGAAGCATCTGCACAAGAAGACGACATGTCAACCTGAGACCGAGCACTTCGGTCCAATCAATCGACGGGAAAATCAAGAATTCAATTCAATAATTAATATATGACCCGTTGCACAAGAGGTGGCTCTCGTGGCCCAAGTGGTCTAGTGGATAACGCTTTGGCGTTTGAAACTATGGGCACTGGGTTCGAGCCTCGGTGGGAACATCATCACTCACTGAGAAATGCAGGTACATCCAGCTG